TGTCACATATTGCAACATAGGGAAAAATCAACAGACTTGGCATATATTTAGTTCATCAATAATACAAGGCTATCAAAAGTATTATTTTTAAAAATACATAATATTTTTAATCAGTATTCACATTTATTTTGCTTTTATATATGGATTTTAATCTGATAGTTAATAAATATTTAAATATATATTATGTTTATAAAACTATAAGATGTTACAAATAAATTATGATACGATTGAAATACATAGGGGTTTTTTTGCCAGCAAATTACTTTGCCTCTATATTAAATTGGGATATCGATAGACAGTGATGCACCGAAACGATGGAAATTGATGCACCAAAAGGATGGAACTTCATTTTGATAATCTTTATTTTCGTTTTCTAAATGCTAAACATCATGTTGTGCTCTTAACTTGAAACACCACATTAATTCATTAACATTTAACACATATTCTGTATTCTTAAAGATTAATATAATGTACTAGCATTCCGCAGGGATAAGCAATCAATTTCTTATATATTTGTTATATAAAGCTATGAATTAAAAACTAACCATATCATCCTTTTGGGAACATTTCAGAAGATCAATGTTAGAGCTAACAGCAAAAGATATTTTAGAAAAATTGGATTACATAGTTTTATTCCTATTTTCCACTTCCATTCAATCATGTCTGATTCTTGGAGACTATCCGACTATCTGTAGTTTTCTTGGCAAGGCTTTTTAGAAATTGTTTGCCTCCTTCCAAGAGCTGAACATGACTGTCCCAGTCATGATCTCTGTGTTTGTATCTAGTCTGATGCATTAACCTCTACAGCAAACTGGCTTTTACTTGTAGAGATGTTATATACAATACCAGCTCGATACCCATGCTTCACTACGAAACTATGTGGCCGGGCTTAGTTTTGGGGGAGCAAAATAAGGGGGGGAATTCTACCAGTATCCATCAGTATTCATTTGGCTAGTGTCCTGTTAGTGTGTGAGAGAGTTGAGAAACTGAAAGAGTATTTGCTGTGTGAGCAAGAAGGAGACAGCAAGGAGCCTGAGTGTGGCTTGGCTCAACTGTTCTGTACTAAAGCTGCTTGGTGCTGTGAAACTGAAACTCCTCTCCTCTGCTTGTGTTTGGCATTTGGAACAGACTTCTTTTCAGGTGGGGAGGCGGAGTAGAACTCCTTACATCAGAACATGTTAATAATAATATACGAAATACTAATGCTCTGATGGTCATTTCAAAAAATCCTTTCTTAGTGAGCACCTAGAAGCACAGAGGAACATAAATGCCAAATTTCAAATTTGCAGGCTTTACAGTTCTGGAGATTTTGTGAAGATGCATGAGTGGTATTTTGCTTATATATATATATAGATTGAATCATCTAATTAAGTATCTTAATTGATAACACATGCCATAAATTGTTGATTTTTAGTTAAGTGAGAATGCTAGCAATAGCATTCTCACTTATGTTGTTTTAACAGCTTGGCTAAATTAGCTAGTATAATTTAGGTAGCAACTTGGTTCTAAAGATATAGTCATTTTTAATATATATATATATATATATATATGGGATATATCATGTATGCCAATAAGTCAAGACTTTAAATGTTCTTCATCCTGCATGTAATTTTCAAGGTAAAACCATTTTTATACTTTATCAGTGATTTTTAATGTTTTGTCATTTCAACCCTAACAGTTACCAAAAGGGAAAAAAGCTTATTCCATAGTAAGTATTATCTTTATCAAAAGGAACAAATAATATTTCCAGAAAATAGTATATCATATTATCTGATAATCTTTAATGTCACCTATTGCATTTCTCATTAACTAAACCAAATGTGGATCAATCTCTTATATTCCACAGTCCACATATTCCCCAACATGAGAATAGAAAACTGAACATATGATCATTCATTTCCACTAAATGAAAACCTCTGCCAAGATTGAACCGCTTTGGTTCTTTCAAACCTTAACATTTTTCAACTTGCCAATGAACTGGAGGGAGGGAAGAGGGAAAGAGAATGCTGAAAATGTGTGCACGGACTGTGAGAGCTTGGCAACCATCAAGGTTACCATTGCAGGTGCTTGAGAAAGAGATGGACTGTTCCCATAACAAAAGGATATCTCATAATTGGACAATGTGATCACCCAGGGGTGAGGAGAAAGGGAACTTGTTGTTTATCTAAGCAAGCATTTGTGCGGGGAAAACCAGAACTGGTTTTGATTCTTCAGTACCAAAATGGTGTATCCAATAAAGTGTTACTTTTGGGAATTCAAAGCTCCCAAGAGTGTTTCCTTATTTTGGGTTCACTAGTCGGACAGTTGATGTAGATTATTATGATTCTACATGTACAGCTCAGGATGATTCCTGTGTAATGCCATTATTCCATGTGCAGGATATTTGAACAGTTGAACCAAAATTTTAGTTTTCAGAAAAAATTCTATTGCATGTAGCAGTATTTGCCATCTATAAAAAGGCAGTATTTTCATAAATAAATTATGTTTAAATAATCCTAACAAAGTTTAGATATTTTCTAAATATTACTTTAAAGTTGCAACTGCACAAATTCTTCTATTATTTGTTCCTTGAATGTACAGTACGGTGAAAAATCAAAGAAAATGCATATTCCCTAGAAAACAATAACTATTTCCTTAATAGTTTAGGTATTTGGAAATGGAAGCAAATGAACAACAACTAACAACATTGAAGGCTAACATAAATAACCAAACCATATTCATGTATTTTCAGCAGAGCACAATTTATCAATTTTCATAAAAGTGTTGATAAATAAGTCTGCCGCCCATCTCACTGATACAGCAACCTAGGATGAAGTACATGATACAGATAAGGCCTCTGAATACAAGAAGTTATTGAAACCTCCCTTCAACAACTTTGAGAATAAGGCATTAAATTTGCCAGTACCCTACCATGTGAGGTGGAAAGTATGTTAGAAAAATATAACATCAAATTGTCTATTTGCAGAGACTCCCATAGCAACAGTTGGAAGTTTTGCAATGGCAATATCATCCTACCTCTTTGTATGACTTCCGACAGATCTTTCTCTGGTTAACAAAGATTGAGTTAAGAGGCTGCAACTGGAGAAATCTCAGAGAATAAACTAGATCAGAAACTCACAGTAGAACATTTGTTTCATCATCTACATCAGGATGTCCCAGCTGAGAAATTCTGGGAGCTGGGACACCCTGATGTAAATGGAGGACATGAATGGAATGTGATCATTGTGACAGTACAATTGCAATTGTTTTTCTTCCCAGAAACAACAATTTAAGGTGGTGTTATCACCTATAATGCCCCACAGGACAGGGTAATTTGCAGGAGGAACCTTTCCAATGACATTACTCAGTCCCATTCACTATATTGGGTAGCTACATTTTGGGTCCCTTCCCCGAAACAATGCTTTTTCCTTGTCGTGTGAAATGATCTATTCACTTCTCTCCCAATGTTTGGCTGGCTCTGATTCTGCTGGCCTTTATTAATCTGAGTATTTCTCCAGATAATGGGCCTGGAATAATTGTTCCCATCAAAAAGCAGGTATGAACATGTTTGTCTGCGTTTTCATTCAAAATTTTTCTTGTTTTCTTGGCTGTTGTAAGTCAAGTAAGTACAACCTGGGCAGCCATACATAATTTAAATAAACAAAACTGCTATAAACTGCCTCAATCTGTGTACTAATAGTGACCAAAGTATAAAATTAAGCTTACTTGCATGCAGTGCACACTTCTGAATGAAGAGTTGCTTATTAACTCATTCCTTAGAAAACATGCTGAATATGGACATTTCCAAAGTAATTGGCCCTAAGTATGAATGCATCAATTTTAATAGATGGAAGCTACATTTACTGATTTTTTCCCCCAAGTTAGGTACTGTGACTTCATACCTCTGAAATGTCAGAAGAAAATTTGAGGAGGAAAAGAAGTATGGCTTGCAATAGGGAGGATGGGAATTTTCCTTCTCTGAATACTAGCTTGGAATATATGTTTGTTTCCATTCTTCCAGACCTCATATTTGGGTGAAAATATAATATAAAAATTAGAGATCTATATTCAATAACCCCTGAATTTACTAAACAGAAGACAAAACAGATGACAGAACTTTAAAAAGTCTTCACATGCATTCATATTCAAAACCAACAAAAGACCAAAAAAATTGCAACATAATGTGAACTGATTCCAGTTTTGCATTTAACAACACTCTCAGTCAACACAGTGAATGGAGAGAACGGTTATGTTAAACATGGATCAAGTTGCAAAAGAGCACAAATTGTAAAGCAACAGATGTGCTATTATCCAAAGCATCCAATTCCAACTGAGATGGTATTCCAGAGCAAACAGCTGGTTTCTGAACTCTGACTTTTGTGGAGCAATAAGATGTGTAAAAAACCTTCAGGGTAGCTGTTGTTTTAAAAAGCTCTCTAAAGTTAAGAAATAAAAATCTCAGCTGATATTTTTAGCAGGTCTATCAAATGGAAGAATGCAACAAAATCCAATAAATGAAACAGACACGTTATTCAACATTAAATGATTTTGTGCATATCCAGTTCTTATTAATCTTTACTGTCTATATATAAAACAATGAATGTTCTGAAATGTTTTATAGCAGGACATATCAAAAGTTTTCACTGAAATCCTTTATAATGCAAACCTGCTTCTCCTAAACATTATATGTTCAATGAATATTTTTCATTGTTTTCTGTATTTTTCACTCTTTTCTGTAATGATCTATTAAGATTGGAATGCTAGCCAGTCTTTCAAAAAATAAAAGTAATTAACTCTGACACTGCTGAAGACTCAAGAAGGTGAATGGAAAACAGTGTCAACCAACTGATGTTTTAAAGTTTATGCTGCAAGCTTAAGTTTTGCAACTTTTTTCCTACACACACACAAATGGAATGCTTATGCTTTATCTGAAACAGAAGTCACTTTCTTTGTTTTTCATTAAATGCTAGACTAAATGAAAAGCATATGACTTTGCTGAAGTCTTTATTGCATGAAACTGCAGCTGATCTAAGAAATGCTTTCAACTATGAGCAACTAGATTAACATATTTTAAACTGGACTCATTCCATTTTGTAGCAGAGCAAAACTGATTTATCATGTAACATTTTGCATGTAAGCCTCCATGCTAACACAACTCTTTTTACCCTACAGACAGTACATCAAAAGTCTATCCATCTTTGAAACTGCATTACTTCAATTTCTTGAAAATAAACCATAACTTTTCTCTGGCCATTTGGAATTAATGCACAGAAAACTATATTGAACACAGATACACAAGAAGTCTTATTCAGCAAAACGGTAGGTATTGTTTTCCAATAAATGATCTTAATGTATACCACATGGTTACAAGTTACTGTAAAAATATTTTGACTGTATAATACATTATCTAGAAACTATAATCAGTGTATCTTTCTTGAATTATATACAAGCATGCTTTATGTTTAAAATATGCTTTTATTCATTTTTATTTTTCAATTCCTATTTTTTCTGGAAAGCATAGATCTTTAAGACAATACAAACTCTTACTTTCACTCCAGGGATGGGCTTAGCTTGGTTCCACATTTTAACTATTTCTTCACTCTGTGTAACAGATCTTAAAATATGGGGTTTCAATTACTTCTAATTAGCATGCAAAACCAGAAATTATAGGAATCTGAAATAATATCAAGTATATAAATATATATTGTTATACTATATAGTACCAAATTTTAAACAATAGAAGGATTTAAATAAAGAATACTAAGAGTTAAGTCATCATCCCCCGTTCCCTGAGCATTAGAAAACTGCTGCCAGCTACTCTTCTAGGGCTTTAAATATTGTTCTGACAGATTACTTTCCTTGCTTCCAGTTACAAGAATCATTCTCCTTGGTTCTTTCAGCAAAACTCAAGTCTGAGCTCCTGAAATGAAGACTTCACAGAAATTTTATCTCTTCTGTTTTTTTATGCCCTTGGTGAAGTTAGCACCACCTAATCAACAACACTCGACCCTATTTCATGAAACATTCCAGCAAGGTTATGAAGATGCATTATTTCAGGAAGACTATGAAGACAATCCACAGGACGGGCTAAAAAATAAGGTAGTTTACAAGTTCTGTATTCCTTTTTTCCACTCTGCCAGTGTATAAGTTAGCCCTGCATGCATGTTTCATGGCTAAATATAGCAGCCAATAAAGGGGGGGGGGGAACGGCAGACAAGGAGATACAAAAAAATAATAAAATACATATACATTATTGTTTTATTTTGTATGATTTATTCCTTTATCCTTACCTAATCCAAATACCTGTGCTTATAGAAATATATAATATGGCCATGAGCTCAGCTTAAAATTTGCCTCAAACTATAATTATTGTTTTATTCCTAATAATATACACAATGTTATGTATCATTCCAAGCATTCAAATTGGTCTCCTGAGAGTCATAACTGAGGGGGACCTGCTATTAATTTATTTTCTGGCCTGGGAAAGTCATGAACTAATTCCCCAACCATGTATAGGAAACATATTTAATAATGAACTACTTTATGTGAGGCAAATTAAAATAAATCCATGTTAGGTACATTATATAAATAACACACTGTTGCAATGTGATAGTTATTTATTGATACTACTGTACTGTCAGCATGCTGATTAACTCAGTTATCTTTGAGTAAGAATAGAATAATTTACACTGAATTAACCACACAATAGTCTAATCTTAATCAACAGAACTATGTTATCTACTCATTCACAGTATACTTAGATAGAAATTTTGAATTTGTTGAGCCCATTTTGATGTTCAGTCAATACCAAGAAGAAATAACAGACTTAGAATTTATACTGTGTGGAGATTATATTCAGTTGAAACATAAAAATTAAAAACGTGTGCGTGTTTAGATTAATTCTGTCAAGGGAAAGCAGTTTAATCATTAATTTATGTAAATAGATTTTGCTTTCCATTCTTTGAGAATACCTATTTGCTATTATTAATCTAAAATAAGTTAAACACTAATAAATCATCCTCCTAGCCACCTCTGACTTGAGGGATTGCCTGAAAGTCAGTATTGACTCCTGGTGACTATCTGAATTAGTCCCTCCAGGCTTCTTAGTAAGATTTTCAGAAGTGGTTTGCTATTGTCTCCCTCCTAGGGCTGAGAGTGTATGATTAGCCTAAGGTAACCCAGCTGACTTTATGACTAAACACACAGACTCTTGATGTCTAGCCTAGTGCCTTAAACACTACACCAAACTGGTTCTGTTACCACTATAATACTTACTCTGACCTGTAAGAGCATATATTTTGTATTTTCACATAATGTCTGCCATGACAAACATTCCCAACAGCCAAAATCCATTGTGGCAAACCCATAAGCTTGTTTCTTGCCTCTCCCAGCTTATCTCTAGTTCTTCTGAGAAACAGAGCTACATTTTCAAACCAAGCACTATTATGGTCACCCACCCTTTTTATTTTCTAAGGATGTTCAGTAAATTTATAGGTGAGACCAAACGCAAAAATGAAGCTAGCAACTAATAAGCAAAATAGCTTTTACATTAAATGAACAAAAATAAACTGAGCTTTCTGAATTCACCATTTTTTTATCAGAATGCTCCTGAGAAACCCATGAGCAAAACTGGGACACAGAGAAGATTTAGTGGACTTTAATGGACAAAAGCTTTGACCAAACTCGGACAATAATGGACTGTACTTCAGATAATAGACAAAATCTGATTAGTGTATCAGTACTCACAATATATTGTTTCATCTCAAAAGAGAAATTCACTGTTGAAAAGGACATGGTGCTTTCATGGGACTTGACAAAACCTACAGCAAAATATTCATTATTATTATTATTATTTGCTTTTCATTATAATTACATCCTCTCCATTATTCTATGATAAGCAATAGGAAAAAATAATGAAATACTGAATACTTGAATATGTGTTTAAACACAATCATGCTGACTAGCTTTATGTCTCACTTAGGCCAATGAATTGATGGGCAGCTTGACTAAAGCTGCAGCTATGCCTGGGATAGGCAAGTCACAACTGTCTTGGATTGGATTGTTCATTTGTGGCTTGTCACTATTTGTCAAGTTTAGAGAAAACCTTAGTTTTCCAAAGAGCTCAAGGCTATGAAATATCAGTTTTCCTCAAGTGCAACTATTAAGTATTATGTAATAGTAATAGCCATAGCACTTAGACATGTGTTTCACAGCCCTTTCTAAGCGGTTTACAGAGTTAGCATATTACCCCCAACAATCTGGGTCTCCGTTTTACCCACCTCGGAAGGATGGAAGGCTGAGTCAATCTTGAGCCAGTGAGAATCGAACTGTCAAACTGCAGGCAGCTAGCAGGCAGCAGCAATAGAACTGCATTCTAACCAGGAGTGGGCTTCAAAAATTTTAGCAAAGGGTTCTCTGCCTGGTTGCTGGGTGGGAGTGGCCCTGGTGCGCATGGCCTAGTCAGCCTCCTGAACCATGGGAGGCATTTTTGCCCTCCCTGAGCTTCGGAGGCTTTCCTTGAGCCTCCAGGATGGTGAAAACGGCCTTCCTGGGCTCCAAAGGCTCTCTGGAAGCCGGAAATGGGCTCATTTCCTCCCTTCCTGAAGGCCTGTTTTTCACCCTTCTCGAGCCTCGTGACCTGCACTTACCTGCATACAAAATGGGCTGCATGGGGACTCCTGGGAGGGGCGGGTTGGCAGGCCCATCCAGTAGGATTTGGGAGTTGTCCAAACTCTGCAGAATCTTAGCTAGGGGCTCTCGCAAACACCCAGCATCCCACCAGATTCTAACAACTGCACCATTACGGTTCAATAATGGTGATAAAGGCAACAAAAGATACTTATTTTCTCCCTTCTGTCGTGTCTACAGATAAGCAACTGTCAAACCCGTTTAAGGTGTTTTAATCAATGTTGGGAAAGAATGGGCTTCAGGCTGACTCTAGGGCTGCTGCAATGAATACCCTAGTTACCTATGGGATAAAAACACTTTGGTTCATTCAAAATTGGACTCAATTGGACAAGACCTGTTAAAATGCATTTGGCAGTCTTGTGAAGTTAAGATGGGATGGCTTTGAGTCTATAAGTTATTGAGCATGGTGAACCCAATCATTTATTCCTCCTGGTATGTGAAAGTGTTTGGGAAGTGACTTGTGATTAGTTCAATGTGATGATGCAATCCTCCTTGAGGAAGAGGTTTTCCTGCCAACCTTGAATAGGCCATATCCAAGAAATCATAAATGGATCCAACATTGCTGGACAAACTTTTGTCTAGACTCCAGCCTTTCCTTTTTAGTGATTGGGCTGACACTCAGGTGGTTCTGAAGGAAACAGAGTGTTTGGGTTCTTTTTACTTAGATTAGTCAGTCAAAGAATTTTGGCTGGTTGGATGGGTGGGGCTGAAGATTCATTTTTATTGTGACACCCTTTGGAATTTCTTACCCCAAGATGAGATTGGCTTCCGCCCTTCTGACCTTCTGTAAGAGCCTGAAGATCTGGTTCTGCCAGATGGCTGTGGCCCAATAGGGAATATCACACTGGAGGTGGTTGATTAATTCAAAGCCAATCCTACTTCTCGCCCTATCCAGCTCCGCTCTTCCCTACCTTAGAACTATGATTTTACCTTGACTGTAGTTTCATGTTATCTCTGATGATTTTAATCTTTTATGGTGTAAGCTGTCCAAAGTTGATGCAAATTGAGATGAGCAGCTTGACATTGAGATGGATAGGATATAAATTTAATAAATAGCACTGATTGTGTTTGTGCATTACTACTGGGATGGAGTTGGCTTCATTTTAATGTCTGAGGAGCAACCTACCTAAGTCATTTATGAAAATGTTGAAGACCTCTGAGCCCAAGACAGAATCCTGAGATATTTCACTGCTTACTGAATCTTCTTCTATTTAATTTTTCAAAGTCTAATTTAAGTGATATACATACAGAGAGTAGTTCCTAACACGCTTTTAAAGATTCTTCTTTTTCTAACTTTCTAGACTGTGATTCTCATTTTTTTCTTCCAAGTGTGTCTTACACATGTTTTAAATGCATTCCAGAGTATTAGGCAACTGCGTATTTTGGGGGGAGGGAGTGATCTATATTTGTTGTTGTTGACCTGTAAACTGAGAGTTATTTAATAATACTACTCCTCACTATTTGAGCTTTTCCTCAAAACTCATGAGTATAATGGAATTCTCTGAGCCTGATAATGTGAATGATATTATCAAAATATTGTGGAAAAAGATCAGATGGACATTCCTTTTGCATTTTCTAAACCTTCCCTTGAGTAAAAGGGTCAAAAAATTCAGAAATGTCAAGGAAACTCTGCCTTAATGGACTCACTGAAAAATGAATGCTAAAGTAGACATGTCCAATTTCCAAGATTCTAATCCCCTTTTCTTGGCAACAAACCTCACTACTGAGACTGTGAGAATCTAGCTTTCTTGGTTGGGATCAAAGTTATAGATTTGGCAATGACATTGTTACTAATGTATCATCAGAAATTGTAATTGGTCAAATACATATTTGTTACTTAACTAACCATATATAGGATATTAAGAAATAGTTCAATCATGAATACATCCTATACAGAGGATTTAAGAAAGTATATTTTTGCTTGTTTGAATTTACCATCGCCATGCTTCAACTAAATTAAATCCCTAAATTCTTGCCTGAAAAAAATTCAAGCCTTGCATGTTTTTTTTAACTAGGAAACATTTTTCAATCCAATAAAGGAACCAAAATTAAATTAGAATTCCCAGCAATGATAATCATATCTACCATCTATTAATCCAATCAAATTTTCAAAATGATTATGTAAAACAGCAAGTTGGATCTCAAAAAAAAAAAAAATATCCAAGCCATCTAGATTATTTTTCACAACCAAAATTATATAGTATAAATTAAATTCTAACAAATTCTGAATTTCCAAAATTCCAATTGTTTATTCATAATATTAATGATAAATACTGACAATATATAGCAGTATAAAAATAAAAAAAATTCTGGTAGCTAAGGATTTTTTCTTCAATTCTATTACATAAACATATCTAATTCAACTAAATGCTCTTTAAAATCATGATACCAAGTTCAATCCTACTAAGTATTTTCAAATAATTGCTATAGATTAACTCTCAACTCAAAGGCTGACATCTTTTATCCTGCAGAACAGATTCCAATCTACTTGGAAACAGAAAATTGGAGATAAAGTTCAAAAATTATATTTTGCACTAGAAGCACATTTGATACTGGCACAACAGCAGGTTATGGCAGCCTTTATGCAAAGGATTCTTGATACAGAATTGCAAGCTGAGCACAGCACAATGCCGGCTGGAATGTTGTGGGACATATGAGATATGTTTCCATCTAGTCTGGTATCTTAACAAATTCACAGTTAAGTGGTTTCTTAGGGCCTTCACACCGCTGTGCTTTGATATCCTACTATCAGGAAGGCAAATTTCAGAAAAACCTCTGAGCAGAAAGGACTTCCTTGGGTCAGTTAGGGAGAATGTCTCATGTATTATTCAAATGGAACTTCTATAGAGAGGCATCAGCTCTTAATGTCCAATTAGGCCCCTCTTACAGATATCTAAGATGAATTTTATGGAAAACTCCTTGGCAGATAAGGACACTGAAAAAAACAAAACACATGGCTAAATTTACATTTGCAACTTGCAGAAACTGTGCTTCACTAATGATAAATAACTTTGGACTGATTACTGGTTATATTGGGGAGATTAGAATATTGTGTTAAAATATAAGAATACTGTATGGTTCTGATTTTATTGCATTTTTCCTTTTTTCTTCTTATTTTATTTTGATTGTTTGATGGATCTGTAATAAATAAATTCATTCATTCATTCTCAATGGAAAGAGTTAAGTTTACAATATAATTTTCTGCACTGTTTTCAACCATTCAGCAAAAACTTAAGATAACTATGTTTTAACTATTGTAACATGTAAAAACATCATTACCATTATAGCTTAATATTGCTATATTATCAGCTATGCTTATATAACATATATATTGCATATTATATGTTATATGTTTTATATATTTAAAAGGAAGACAATACTTTCGTCGTTTTCAATGAAAATAAGGTGCAGCTGCAAAGAGATGATGAAAAACTTGCAGAGGGAACAACAAATTATACAAGTAAGTTTTTCAACTTTATAATAAACAGAATAAAGTCTGCAGAGTTTCTCAGTCATTCAGGTCATGGTTGTCCCAAAGGCGCTTTTTCAAGAGGCAACTGGACTTCATTTTTTCTTTGGAAGACGTTTCACTTATCATCCAAGAAGCTTCTTCAGCTCTGACTAGATAGTGGGGAAGGGAAGATTCATATTCCTTGCAGACAACTGCTCATTTGCATTCCTTTGGAAGGTCGTTGAAACACGTGAAGGCTTATCTGTGTCCTCAGGATCACCTAAGTAGTGCTCCTGGTTCCTGTAACCTGCAATTTTTCCTCTGGAAATCCATTCCTACTCCCACATCATTCAAAGGGTGTTTCATCCCAAATTGTACAATTGAAAGTCTGTAGAGATTCTCAGTCATCCAGGTCACGGCTGTCCCAAAGGTGCTTTTTCAGGAGGCAATCGGACTTTGTTTTTTCTTTTTTTATATGTAAAAATTTTATTTGGGTTTTCACAAAACATAATACAAGTAAAATTTCTTTTTTTGAGAATAGCATGGTCCCGGGTTATCACTTCTCCATACAGACACAAATTCAATTTCATATTCATCTTTGTGTTCTATTCCATATCTTATTACTATTTTAACATTTTCTCAATAATTTTTCCCTTCCCTTAGTTTTCTCAATCTTACTTTTAATTATCTCATTCCTTTATAAATTCAATTATATATATCTTTTTCTAAGTTTTAACACCTTTCTAGTCATTATATTTACACTTTTGTCTGTCCTGTTTCAATTTCATATTTTCTTTTCTTTTCTTTTCTCATTAAACAAAATTTTCCCCTGTAGTTACTAATTGGAGTATGACACCTTTGTCTCTTTTAATTTTTATCCATTCAACTCTTATTTAAACTTCAATTTATGTCTTTACCATTTTAACATTCAATATAACACATAACTTCCAGTCAAATTCTGCTTGGTACAGTCTTGAAAAAGTCCATAACTTTTTCATGTTTCTTTCATATTCCTATCACTTAATTTTTATAACACATGTATAATAATTAAAATGTTCTCCTTCTTTCCTAATATCATTCTCTCATTCTCTTTATTTCACTTATTTATCAAACATTCCATTACATTACAATGAGTATTTTATCTATCATTTTAATCACACTTGTTTCATATTTTCAAAGTTCATTTCTATTTCTAATGTAACAATACTATCTTACGTACCCTTGCAGAATCCCCCTTTCAATTAAATTTTCACCCATTATCTCTGTGTCTTCTAAATAGGCTTATACCCTTAATCCTTGTACGTTTTTCCTATTTCTCTATGTCCTGTTTCTATCCTTTATAATTTCTTTTCCTTTCCCTCTCCCCGCTCTTCTTCTCCCTTCCCTTTTTGACCACTTCTCTCTCTAATTCTGATTCTCTCTTCTGTAATCCTCTCTTCTGTTTCTTCCTAATGTTGTAATTACTTTTCAAAGTATTCTTTTTTGGGGTTGTTTTTTCAGATCTTAAATTTTCCATTCTCTTTCCCCCCTTTCCTTTCTTTTCCCCACATAGAAATACTTGGTCATTGAAGAGGGTTTCTTCTTTGTCCTGCCCTTCTTGTTCTATAGGCATTTCTTGTTGTTTCTCATAGTTCAGGATCTCCATTTCTAAAAATTGAAATACGAAACCAAAAGAACCTCTTCCTTCTTGTGCATCTTCTTTCTATTTTTTAAGTTCCATTCTCAATTCTTCCAAGAGTGATACCATTTTAAAAACTTTTAAACAACCAATCAATTAATTTTAGTCCTTTAGATCCAATACCCAAATATCCAAAAATCACCAAGTAATCCAAATAATCCAAAGCTGTTTCTTCTTGCTTCTTTTTTCCACTTTCTCTTCCTGAGGTTCTCTTATCTTGTTACAAAGTTTCAGTTAAAATGTATCTTTTAGGAATCTTGTTAAAGTTTCACTGTTAATTCCTTTCATTTCCAGGTGGTCTCCTCCATTTTTCCAGATCCCACCCTTTTGTTTTTTTCCTTCTTTTAAAAGTTTTTGAGAATCCAGAAATCTTTATTATCCCTTTGGCATTTTATTTTCAGCTTAAATACCTGTTAATGTCCAAGTGGATTTTTGCTGGTTTCTTGCTTAAGTCTCTTAGTTGTCAATATAGGGAAGAAAAGAAAAAAAAACTAAATCCTTTCACTTCCCTCTCTCATTCACCACTTCAAAGTCTTCTTTGGGAATAATGTTGTTCTTTATAATTCAAATTCCAGGGTACCTTGCATTGTTGCTTTTTCAGTTCAACCCGGTCAGCCAAAACTTTCTTTTCTTATCTTCCTCCTGCACATTGTTTTCCGGTCGATTCTTCTTTGAGGTGGCCATTTCTGACCACTGCTGCAACTGCCTTCAGGAAAGGGAGTAATGGCCAACTGAGGAGGAGAGATGCGACTCTCCTTGGCCCTGCTGGCAGTCTCCCCCCTCTTCACCACCTCTACGGGGTGGCTTAGCCCCAAAACCAGCCGGCTCGGGGCACTCCAGCGGCGAGCATAGATTGAAACTGCGCATGATCGCAGATTTCAGTCTGTCGCCAAAGAAGCTCAAACTGGAAGCCCGGACTTTGTTTTTTCTTTTGAAGACGTTTCACTTCTCATTGCTAAGCAGGTAATGAGGACACAGATAAACCACCAAGTGCTTCAACAACCCTCTAAAAGGATGCAAATGACCAGCTGTCTGCAAAGAATATAAATCCTTCCATTCCCACTATCCTGACAGAGCTGAAGAAGCTTCTTGAATGAGAAGCGAAATGTCTTTAAAAGAAAAAACAAGGAAGTCCAGTTGCCTCCTGAAAAAGCACCTTTGGGACAATAAACAGAATAGTTTCCAAAACCTGTCAGTATTAGGGTAAGAAACATTATTAAGTATGTTTATTGTATTGTTGTATGTGTTGTAACCAAACCAACTGTTTGGTTAAGCAATTAGGCAGCAATTATGGGATATTATAGAAATTCTATATAGGAATTCCAGCTTTTCAGTAAGCATTTTTAAAATATATATAGTACAATGACATGCTTACTGATACCGCAGAACTATGATAGGACTACCTAACATAAGCTAAAGTAGCGATCCCTTTTCCTTTTGGCAATGAAGACTTATTGAGCTCATGAAGCAGCATTTGCGACATATACAATCTGTATGTTGCTGCACTGAAATGACTATGGAATTTCAGTGTTTTCAGAAAAAATCATAGTAAACTTCAGGAAGACCACCAATCAGAATACAACCAAAATACATTGTTCCCTAAATGTTATGGGCCATAATCTACCACATTAGTCCAGTCCAGTTTGGTAAGCAAAGGCATTTCATTTATCACATCACCTGTCACTCTCCCAGGCTAGGAAAGATAACAGATTTGTCACTGCAGTATAACAGATCTATATCTAAAGACAGTTTTCATCAGCACAAAATGAATTTTCATTTTTTCACCATCTTGCAATTTGTACATGCAATTGCATGAAAAATTGCTGTTCAAAATTACACTAAAAGGTCCAAAAGCCCAACCTGGCTAACTTGTTTCTGTCTATTGCTCATTACAACCCAAACTTAGCTAATTTGCAAAGTTAAGCAGTGAGAGCACTAGGAACAATTATTTATCTATGTTAAACTTAATATTTTAAAATAATCCTAGAAGAAAACAATAGGAACTACATGATTGCCAAGAAAACTACTCGGACTGGGTATATTATAAAATGATCAGGAATTGAATTTAACTAGAGGGAATGTTTACCTTTTATTCAAAGCAATGTGTATATTTCCTCTGTATAGACTTTTTTCTCAAAGGCTAGAGCTATCAGTAAGCACCTGCTACCAACCTGCTCTCCCTCAAAGGATGTTTGAATAACCTAGATTCTGCAGAAAATTGTGGAAGATCATTTTATTATTAACTGTTGAAACATTTATCAGGCTTCTACATAAACTGACACAAAATTATATACTTTCAGAATTGGCTACTTGTCTACTATGTGTTTGTTTAATTCGTTCAATTTACTGCGAAGAAATGGATATTGAAAGTATCCCTGTTCTGCCAAAGGAAACAGGTTACCTTTATGCACGATTCAACAAAATCAAGAAGGTGAAAGTATCTGATTTTGCTGAAATTCGTAAGTAAACCATAAAAATAAATTTGATGATCAATCATTAGAAACACACTTTGGTTAGCATTTAGTTATCTGTATTTTTGAATCACTAAGCTATTACAGAAAGTAATAACACTTTTTTCAGAGAAAAGTAATTTTACTGGCCAAATTAATTCACAAATCAAATTAAAGTTTGCTTTATATGATGGCTTTTGAAGATTATACTTTAAAACACTCCAATCTTCTGGTGACTACATTCCTTTGGAAGTGATTGCTGGAGAGATGGTGCCAGAGGTGGTGGTATAAGAGGTCAATGGCAGTTCATGCCCCAGAGAGTAGATCCAGGATCAAATGTATCCATGATTTCTAAAATGGCGTATTTCATTTTAGAAATATATTTTCATTTTCATGTTGATTTTAAGATGGGATTGCACTTATCAGAAATCCAGATTATTTGTATTTATGAGTAGTCCTCAGGTTATGACAGAAATTCAAACTGTATTACCATGGCTAACCAATGCATTCATAAAGCCCAATGTGATATGACCAATTTGCTTAGCGATGAGAATCCATGCGGTTCTAGTTGTCACTATAATCCAAAACATTTGGGTCATTAAGTGGGAAGAAGTAAGGTAAAGGGTGCTGTGGTGTTGGGGAGGAGAGCTACTGCAGGCCATATATAAGTTGGGAAAGGCAGAGGAGGCCTGGTTCAGCCAGCACAGGTTGCATACAAATCACGGAAGACCATGGAAGAAAAGGTGGGAGTGACAAACTGAAGTGACTTGTAACTTTCCCTGCTAGCTTCTCCAGTGCCTTTGCTTGTGAGAAGATGGCAGGGAAGGTTGCAAATGGCGGTCCCATTACTGCACTCCCTGAAATGTCATAATTGTGAGCTGGGTATCCAAGTGTCCTGATCACAATTACATGCTTGTAGGTGTGCTGCAAGGGCCAGAACTTTGAAGACTACTCATATATCAATTTTTGAGTACCACTTTACAATTTTGAATAATTTCTGAATGAATGAACATAAGCCGAGAACTACCTGTATATGCCTTTAGAATTTAGGCAAAAGATTAAAGTTAGGATAAAAATTGCATATGGCCCACTGCCACTCCTGACTTACAAGAAGCACAAATTAAGCAAACCATGTTTCCTAAGTAAATCAACACTGTTCAGTTGCTGACAGCTAAAATACCTTGCTGGCCTTTCTCTTTGATTCAAAGGATTTTTTTAAAAAATCTGAGTGAAATTCATAGCCCAAAGTTTAAAAAGTCTTCTATTTCATATGAACTAGTGCCATCACCCTAGGTATGTTTAAGAGACAGAATCAATGCTTTCCTCCTCTATGCTCCCTGTTTGTAAACTCCATGGTTAACTACTGACATAATTAAGAGACAAAGAAAAATTATTGAAAAAAAGTGAAAAATATTAATTCCATGTTTCCCCAATTAAGAAAAAAGTCAGAAATGCCCTCTCCTTCCAGTCTTCAAGAGTGACCACCAGGAGCCACACAATTGGAAAATAAAAATGGCAATCTAGGAATGCAAAAAAAGTGCCAGTAAAGTCTTACTATTCGTATCTTGGAGGAGGACATTGCCAATAGGCTTATATCAAACTGAGGGAAAGGATACAATTTTACTTCAGATCTCAAATGCTCTGTAATTTTGTTTTAAAAATATTTCTACTTTTCTAGAGAATTAATGATTTACAAATAGTTGTGGTGTTTTTACAAAGGAGGAAATTTTCAGCTCCCGTGTTGGGAAAGTCATCTACCTCTCAAGTAGAATCCAGAGAACCATCTTAATAAGATATGTAAAACTGGTTCTTTATTTAGTCACTTCAGCACATTGTAGAGCATGCCTTTAAGCAGTAAACACCTGTAGAAAAGATATTTTAATTGTAATATTGTTTGCTTTTAAGCCACCCTAAGAAGAATTGATTTGACTGGGAATGCAATTCAAGAGATTGAAGACGCAGCCTTTGCAAAGCTAATTCTGCTAGAAGAACTTTCATTAGCTGATAATCGGATAGTCAAGCTTCCAGTTTTGCCTCCCAAACTAACTACACTCAACCTAAATAACAACAAAATTAAAAGCAGAGGAATTAAAGCAAATGCTTTCAAGGTAAAATAATTATTAAGTACATGCACTACTAAACGAAGCCAGTCTGAATTATTTCAGAAGGAGATATTGCACTTAGAAAATAAGTATTATATAAAAAATATATTGGACCAATATGTTGTCATGATTACCATTCCAAGATTTAAATTTTAAACTTGCTAAATTGATTGACTTGTGCTGAAGGATCACTATGGATCACTATCTTATAGCAGAGACCAAGAAACTTGTCCATCCCTTTACTATATAGCTAGAGAAAACATTTGTAAGAACAAAAGCACCACCCTCTACCTGCTTGTATGGAAATAAATCCTGCTGAATTCAATAAACATTACTTTTAAGTAAGATAATGTACTGATATACAATATTTTCATTTTACTTTAAGCCTTCAAGCAATATTGCCAAATGTATTACAGATGGAAACGTTATGTAGGTATAAAGTAGATTTGCAATTTCAAAATATTATTAGCATTCATGCATATTTATTCTTATTACAGGTACTGATTATAGTACTTAGGTCATGAGATATGACTAAACAAGTTAGATGCTGAATATCTTCCATAATCATCTATGAGAAAAGGAACAAAAAACTAGGGTTGTTTTTTATTCCTGAAGTTCTGATGAGATTATTGTATCTCAAGATTCCACATCTCTTGAGACTCTAGTGGTCTTTTGTGAAATTTCAATTTATTGTTACATTTTAATATTCTTTAAATTAATTTTGAGGTGTATACTTATTAGGATTTTGTGAGTGCTGCATATCCATGTTCTAATGGAAATCTTATTATTTTTGTGAAGTTGTCCAGCCTTTGCCAATGACAACCAAACAAATATTTTACAAGCCTTGTTTAAAGTATTTACATATTTTATTCTGACTGACTTCTATTAGTTTACATTTTAAACAGCAGTCTAAATGCAGCATCTTCACTTGCAATCAACATCTGGACTTAGTCTATTTCTCAGTTAATACTAATCCCAAATACTTTATCCTGCATTGCAGTTTAATTTGCAGTGCATAGATAGAACTATACTACCAAATGTATTTATCCTAAATACACAATATTGTCCAGATTTTTTTTATAAAGTAGCAATTTTCCTTAATAGGAACTTTTTACCCGTCTTTCTTAAAAATAAAAATAAAATAAGGAGGGGTGATACACAGTGCCACTGCATGAACACAGTCATGTGGTCATGCTGGGGTAGTGGCTCCTATGGACTCAATGGGCCACCATTTACTATTGTTAACTCTGGGTCTTTAATCTGATTCTATGTATCTGTATGATCTTAATATATTTTTGTAAATATCCCATAACTTTTTGGATTGTGTAGCAAATAAACTAAAAATAAGTAAAGCAAATAAGAATGCTGCTGTACTATACAACCTTTAGCTATTGGCTACGTTTCACTTCCAGATTCAAGCAGATTACTGTTTACCCAATTTAACTACTAAATAACATAGTATTATTTAGTAAAAAAAAATATCTTCTTCTTTTTACAGAAGCTGACAAAATTGTCCTATCTCTACTTAGCACAGAATGCACTGGAGTCTGTTCCTCCTAATTTGCCAGAAAGCCTACGTATTCTGCACCTTCAGGTTTGTCAATCTATTTTTTTTAACTGTTGCTCAAACAGTAATGGTTTACAACAAGCTTAATGCTTTAAAATACATCCCCAGTATCTGGGGAAAATGTACATCAATCACTTGTTAATGTGGATTTGCAATGTGCTACAATTAAAAAATGTCAAGTATGACAGCACTCAAAAAATTATTACACTGATTAAATCTAACTGATGTTAATATGAGCACGTGGTCACACACTACTGTAGTATTTACAATGAATAGATGAAGAATACTGGAGAAAGATATTTCAAATAACTTGAAAATGCCTAAAAACAGAAATCCTTAGAATTATATTTGTTTAAACTTATTTATTGCTTAACTAAGGAAGAATATTAACCCGTGTTAAGTACAATGCTAATTTGGTTTCTGAATCTTCTTAGAGAAAATGTATATGTTCTATAACATTACAGAAATATTAATAATATCTCAACAAAAGAAAAAAATGAAATTTCAAAGAGGATGCTTGGATTTTTCAAATGCATTGCTTTGATTTACAGTTCAACAACATAACCAGCATCACAGATACAACTTTCTGCAAAGGAAACAATCAGACCCGTTACGTTCGTCAGCGCATGGATGAGATTAGAATGGAAGGCAATCCAGTCATCTTGGGAAAATATCCCAATGCTTATATTTGCTTGAAGACTTTGCCTGTAGGCCAATACTTTTAGTTGCTAATCAAAGTGAAACACGTAAAAATTAGATAAAATTACTGTTATATCACTGTTCTAAACATGTCTTTGTATTAATAGCCTCTCACATATATTCAGAACTGTTAATGGTAACGATATATTTAGATCTTCCCTAATGTGGTGATATTGTACCTTCTGATTTAAAATGTTTGAGTGTTTTTCTACTTTTAGATAAAAGACTCAAGTATGAAACCAGGAAAAAGCATCGACGCTTTCTGAGTAATCAGATTACAAAATGAATTAAAATTGATTTTAAAATTGTTACTGTTATGAAGCTAAGAATCACAGTAAACTTAAAGGAATGCATTCTTTTAGGGGACGAGTATAATTTAATTACAAAAGTACTGAAAATAGACTGTACAGTACTTTGGATTTAAAGAGGAAAAAGTCATTCACAGCACATTCTGTGTGCAAAGACATATAGGAGCTCTTGCAATGCCTTAAATCCATTTTTCTCAGGATCATGCTGTACCCCTGGAGGGCATCCATGTGTTCCTGGAAAAAAACTTAGCTCATTTAATAAGTTGCTGATAGGTGGTACATAAGCATCCTACACAGTTCAAACTATTTTCTCCTTGAAATACAAAGGATGCACTTAATGAAAATCCAGGGAATATGGGGCAACATAAAGCAAGCCTATGATGCTTTCTCAGTCAACGTAGACACAGGTTGGATAGAAAGGGCAAGGGGTTCTTAGATAGCTGACCAAGTGCTAGAGTTTGACACAGTTGAGATTGCTGAAACGTCAGACAAGGCTATGGCTTCATGCTACTGGCAGGCACAGCTATTTATGCAAGAAAGAACCAATATAATACAGAGATCAGCTGAAATTGCAACATAGATTATTTAAGCCAAACAGCCCTTCCCAATTCAACTTCCAATGCTGGTGAAAGAAGATAATATTATTTTAAATATATTAGCAATCTATTAATCTTATTGGCGAATGTTATTCATTAGCCTAGCAAAATAACAACCACAAATGAAATTAAAAAAACTAATCATACTGTTTCAGCCTGATCTCTGCGCTGCAAACTATTGAAATAAAACTATTCAGTGTAGAAAAATGAAATGTGTTCCAGTTTAAATTTTATTATGTATTTTAAAGAAAAAGTGACCCAAGCTTATTAAAAGTGTTTATCAAAATGAAAGGGAAAAAAACTACCAATCAATTTATGCTATAGCATGGAGGATTTTGCTTAAATGTTAGCCTGCCTGCAAGTCCATTCTGTGGATCCTTTTGTGTGCATTGGGGGTGAGTACAAAAGTTTAAAAAAGGAAAATATATATCTTAAATCTTGAGGATTAGACACTCCTAACCTTTAGTGAGTTTGTGAAATTTATCTCCAACCAACTAATGTGGCATAGTATTTGCAATATGAAAAAGTAACATTGTTTAAATCTTTGTTGCATTTAAAGTATATTGACGTAACCAATATCACAATTTTGGTGTGATATCAGAATTGTAATTAATTCAGCTGAATTAATTCATAAAAGTCAGCTTAGTTGATTTCAACACAGCAATAAAACAATTTGCATGCATGTATCAGATGAAGGGTTTTTTTTTTCAGAAATACCAGCAGTAAGTCTTATTTGTACTCATTCTCATTCTTTGCATATGTTTGATTAAGACAGATATTTCTGATTTAATTATTCACCAATATTGGAGACTATTTTACAGCCATGAGCCTTTGCTGTATCTATATACTTTTAGCAATTTAAAATGTCATACTTCAATTATATGGTGAATTTATATGATGTGAAACCTTTACAGAAATTTGATTGATTTTAGTCTGCACATGCTTCCTGTTGTCTAGAATTCTCCATGCCTAATAAATAATTATAAAGAAAAAAGGCTTACTGTTCTTTTGTAGATGTCTTACATATCACAGACAGTAAAATGATAAATTGCTGTAGTTTCCTCGTTTCTCCTACCCCCTACCTCCTACAACACCTGAGTGAATCAGTCTATTTGTATTCTTCCTACCATCAACAGTATTAGGCTATATTTTAATCTTCTTTCTTGCCTTCATTCAACTGAAATCACATGATTCCCCACTCTTCCTACTGTTCCTTCTATGGTGATTCTATAATCTATAGGATATTTTCATATTAATCACTCTGATATTCCAAGCAACAATTCAATGCTCTTGAGTATACTGTGAATAACCAAGAAAATTAATAAATGGATCAGAGAACAATCCAGAGTTTTCACTCAAGGTACATATGACCAGACTCATTACCATATTTTGAGCACATTATGTAAACACCTAACTCTCTTGAGAATCTGTAACTCTGGGAAAGATGGAAGGAAGACAAGAGGGTAATGAGCAACAAGGCAAATGGACTTGATTACAGCAGCCATAGAAGAACCACTGAAAGGTTTGAAAATCTAAGTCATCCTGGAGAAGATTTGTCTATGTGGTTCTTAAGAAATGACACCAACCTAATGACACATAATTAATCACATTTTTATTTTGGCAAAATTAAATCTGACAGAGATAGACTAGCAACGGATTTCTATACCCATTGATCTCATATTTAGGCTGCAATAATACAAATACCTTTGCATATGATCTATTGAAAATTGAATTTATTTATTAATATAGTAACACCTCTGGTGATACAACTAAGCTGGCTTCTAATTAGCTACAGTACTGAGTCCTGTTCCAGAGTATGTTTTTGACATGTTAGACCCTAAACAACTTGGGACCAGAATACTGCAGAAACTGCCTATACAGTCACAGAACTAATCTGTAATTATAATTTTGTACAGTTAAATGACCTGTAATCATTTAAAACATTAAACTTATCAGAAGTCTTATTGTGTGTACCAAGAGTGACACACTACAAGAGTTATCTTGTACAGTAATTACTCAAGATAGGGGATTTTTTGAGTGGTGGCATCTACACTCAGAATGTTCTTCGTCCATAAATTCATACGGCAACTATTTTTTAGTTGAAGTAGCAATGCAATAGCCCAGTGACTGCCAACCAGTGGGCTGGGGACCACTGGTGGTACGTGAGAAAATTTTGGTGGTCCGCAGAGAAAAGTCACCCCAAAGCACCCCCCCAAAGCAATTAATCCAGGCTGCAGGAACACAAGGCTGCGCTGCTCACATGGCCCCGCGGGGACACAAGGCTTGCGTCGCATTGCAAACAACACAAGGTAGTGAGAGGAGGGGAGAAAGGGCCAAAGGGGAGAACTTGCCCACTCGCCCCTTGTGCCTCGCCTGGCCACCAGGCTGCTTCTTTCTGCTTTTTTCTTCTTGTGCTTGTGGCTGCATGCAAGGAAAGCAGCAAAAGTCTTTTATTCTCTCCCCCAACCTTCGCCAGAAATGAGTCTTTGGGACCCTGCAAGGCATCCTGCTTCAAGAGGCTGTGCCAGTGCGACAAGCCTCACAAAGACTAATTTCTGGTGGAGTTTGGGGCAGAGAAAGAAAGACTTCTACTGCTTCTGCTGCTTTCCTTGCATGAAGCCAAGTCTCTCTCTCTCTCCCTGAGAACAGATCTGGAGATGGTATCCTGCGATCCCAAATAATGATTGATTGGTAGGAAAACGGGGTGGGAAATTTTCCTGCAGATTTTTTTTGGGATTTTCCCAGGGTCTCTGGTCCGCAGAATTTAAAATTATGAGTTTGATGCTCCCTGAGTTCCAAAAGGTTGGTGACCCCTGCAATAGCCAATAAGGTTTATCTGAGGCGAGATTATTACTAACCAGAAACGTATCTATATAAGTGAATTGATGAATTATTTTTACTTAGTGAGATATGTGAATACAGCTCTGGTTGGCAACTGTTCTGCAATCCTTTTATAGTAGTATAAAGATCCAGTTTTTTCCATTAAAAAATTCTGAGATGTATCTCTGCTATTCTGCTATGTTGATGCCACAGTTATTTTATTATTATTTTATACTTAGATTTTTATTACTTGGTTATTTTAAATTGTTTTATATAATACCCAGAGTTGATCTGATGATGATAGTCCAGCTATATAATAAATAAATATACAACATATCTAAAACTGTGGGTTTGCCAAAATATTATCTTACAGTCTATACTGGATGAGATAAACTTTCTGGCATTCTTTTTAACACAGTCCTCAAGCTGGTGTTTTGTATAGTCATTGGGAGAGAAAAAAATCACACTTCTATCCAGGAAATTATAAACAGTATAATTTTGAAGCATTGCAATCTTCATAAACATATATTACTGAAATGCTCTCTATTAAATTAATGGGTCATTTACACATTCATTTAACTCCACTAATTCATGCACCAAAATTGTTTCCAAAGTATTACCTTAAAATGAGTGAAAGCACGTTCCCGATGTTTACACCATTCAGAGAAACAAGTCAGACTTCTGAAGAACAGGCAGAGATTCCCATTTTCTTCAACCCTAGAACGCATTAATATATATTAATATATATTATATATGTAATTTGCATGGATAACTTTTGTCCATATTATTTTTCTAAACTCTTGAATGCATAAAAAGTGACAAAACTATTAAACATTTTTGCATAAATTGCTGAACAGTGTCCTTAAGTTGTAAATTTTTTATTTAAGATCATGTGTTACTTTAATAAATCTTGATAAGTTGAGGCTTAGTTTGTATGTATTAATTTTATTTATTTAAAACATTTATATAGTTTCTCATCTTATAATCAAATTGAAATGTATTTACTCCCATCATTTTGCTTTCAATTATCTCCTTTCTCTGCTGAACATCTATGTAGTTTGCAGCAATATTAATAAACTTTATACATATCTAACAAAGACATATTAGCACCATATGTTAGCTCTAAAAAAACTAAATCAACAGTTAGTTCAAAAGACATATAATTTTGTCTCCCTAATTTTACCAACCATTCCTTTCCTCCAAAGGAAACTAATTTGCTTAACAAATACTGATTTTGGTTTCTTCAAGAGGCAGTTATTAAAACAAAGTATTACTTAGCATGATATTTTAATCAGGTCTGTGATTGGATTTACATGCCGTGCTTTGTACAGTTTATTAATAAACCACAATTATTGGCTTTATAAAATCAAACAGGCCACATTTTGGCTTAAGGAATGCTGTATTTCTAAACATGCTTTTTTCTGAAACACAAGAAACAATATTGTGTCTCCCTGATTTACTGGAAAGATAAAACAATGAACGATTTAACTTTGAAAAGATACAGAAAAACTTTATATAGTGTTGTAACAACATGGTTATTTAATCATTACATTACCCACTCCAGGCCTAAGGGTAAAATAGCAGGTGACAATTAACACATTATGTTTAAAAAAGCAACAAAAGAGAAGATAGCTGTGTTCAGTAATTCAAAACCAGCATAACTGAATTATTATTAATATGATTTGAATATTTATTTATTCAATTTATATTGCCGCCTATTCACCTATAGCAACTCAAAGCAGCTTACAGAATATAAAACCACATTTAAAACAATAAAAACTAACAAAAAATCAAATAAATTAATATAGTACAATATAACAAAATCACCCTCCAATTCCCACCCTCTGCCCGCGACAGCAGATCACATGAGCCATTTAATGGGCTCCATCCCACTCCGGGTTCCACAGGCTCAGTGGCAGAACCAGGTCTTCACCACCTTCTGGAAGAGTATTAGGTGGGGCTGTTCTAATCTCTGGGGGAATGATGTTCCAGAGAGGAAGCCACCATGGAGAAGGCCCTTCTTCTGGGTCTCAACAGGTATATCTCCCTCAGGGATGGGACCCGCAATTACTTCAAGAATTCCAGAGCATTTTAAGATCAGTCTAAAGCAAGGGTGTCAAACTCGCATTGCACGGCAGCATCACATGACATATCAGGACTTTTCCCCCCATTGCTAAACCAGGCAGGGGCAGGGCCAGCACGTGACGTATCTGGCCTGTGGTCCGCGAATTTAACAACCCTGGTCTAAAGTCACTGTACTAAAAATGTAACAAACCAAAAGCCAAATGGTTGAGTATTAAAGCAAAAATATGATATGAGGAATCCTTGATGTTCTATTCAAAAAAGACTATCACCCAGCCCAAAAAGGAACAAAGACTCCAGCACCTCTCCACCAGCAATCAGCACCCAGATCAGCATAGATTAACTCCAAGATAAACTTCAGACCAACAATCAAGTAAATACCCCATTCAAGAAACTGCCAAAGAATCTGGAAGGGCGGAAATGGCGTCGCAACGATACGGCATGCGATCTTGGAGGTCTGAGATCGCTGCTGATATCTTTGCTCCTGGATGGTCCAAACGGATCTAAACTGTCCCGAAGAGACGGTGAATGTAAAGAGCGCATCCTGTCGATCCCAGGGATATCGCAAAGTCCCTGGTAGATCCAGGAGAAGCTCTTTTTGCCAGCAGCAAAGAGGCAGCCATTAAAGCTGCCTTTAATGGGGAACAGAAAGAGAAAGTGTGCCGGTTTTGGAGAGAATTTTATTTTTTACTTTAAGATTTGAAAGGATACCCTAAGGAAAAGAAAGAATCTGTAAAATTTTAGAAAGAAGTGATTAAGCGGCAATTTTAAACAGGAAGTCAAAGTAATTTTTTTTCTTTGCTGGACTTTTTACATATGATTTTATATTTTGAAACTGGACTGGGTTTTTTCTACCTATTTTTTCTCTCCTTTTTGACTTTATAACATTTTAGGCTAGAGACTCCCTTCTAGTCATCTTTTTAAATTTCTTTTTCCCTTTTTAATTAATTTTTATTATATCTTGTTTGGAAAAGGAGGGGGAAAGTGAAAGCAGAAGAAACTTTGTAACACTGACAGCTAGAGGCTTGGAAATATTGTATGTCTTTTTTTTTCTCTTGACCAGACAAAGCTGAGAAAGATCTGAGACTTCTTCTCAAGGACTTTGAGCCTGTTTGATAAGATAGAGGGAAGAGCATGGGAGAATATTATTGCAGGTGCTCTTCTGGGTTTCTATCAGTAGCTGCAGTCTGGTGTTGAAGTTTACAGAAAAAAAAGATGATAAGACTATAGAGAAGAGAGTTATAAATTTTAACAAAAGCCTTGGATAACTAAATAAGGTGCAGTGTGTTCTTTCTACTTTTTTTAAGCTGGGCTATTTCTTACTTTAACAAACTCCCTCCTTACTAGCTTACTTTTTGTAGTAGTTATTTGGATCTTTGGCCTTCTGGAACTTGTTTTAATCCTTTTTGTTTTTGAAGTCTAATTTTTACATTTGCATTTTATTTTAAAGGAAAAGCTTTAGTATTAATGTTTTCGTTCTTTTTTTTTCTTTTAAGCAAGTAGTCTCTTTTCTCTCTCTCCCTCCCCTGTATTTTTTATTACTTTCCATATTGGGTTTTTTTTCCTTTTTTTTTCTTTGTACATCTTTTTATACCTGAGACTTCTTAATTGGATTAAGGTGTTGAAGAACTTGAAGAACTTCTTTTTTTCTTCTTTAGTTTTTTATCTTCTATTTTTCCTCCTTCTCCAGGATTTAACAATTTTTTCCTTTTTCTGTTTATGATGTTTTCTTCCTTTTTTGAGTTTTTTCTGCTATCTAACCAATCGATTGGATTAAGTTATACAAGAACCTGAAGAAATTCTCTTTTTATTATTACTATTATTTGGCTTCTTTTTTCCTACTATTTTTACTTGGAATTACAATTGGCTATTTCACTAGTGGATTAAGGTCTAGAAGAACCTGAAGATTGTTAATTGTCTGAAATGAGTAGGAAACTAACAGCGGCTGGTCCTTCAACTTCTACTTCTTCCTCTTCACCATCTGGAGGACAATGCTCAATACAGATGATGTTACAGTAAGAAAAAGAACAGGAAAAGGTGATGCTGCAAATGATTATGCAAGGCATTCAAAATATACAAACAAGAACAGAGAATATTGAAAAGGGAACAGAGAACATTGAACAAAGAACAGGAAAAACTGATGAAAAGGTGGAGAACATTCAACAAATGATGATGAAGTATGATGAGAGATTCCAAAAAATTGAAGAAGATAAACAAAGAAATAAGAAGATTGGAGATATTGATAGCAGATTAACTGTGGTTGAACAAGATAAAAGTGGGATGCTGAGATGGGAGATGGACAGATCAGAATTATATGTCAGATTCTAAAACATAGAGGAAGAAGAGAGACAAAACCTAGCTGAGATAAAGAAAGAAATCTTGGCTGAAGCTTTGGAAATAACCAAAGAGAAGATGATGGATGGAATAGATGAGGTTTATTGAGTCTTCACAAGATATGCAATGAGAAATAGCTTACCAGGAGAAGTTCATATTAGATTTACAAAGAAAGCCATTAAAACGCAAATATTGCAAGTGGCAAGAGAGAAAACATTGAAATATAAAGATAAGGAGACTCTGGTCCTGAAACAAGTACCCAGAAGAGTGAGAGAGAGATGAGAAGAGAAGAGAATACTGATTTCTGACTAAAATGCTACTTTAAAAAGAGGTGAATTATAGATGGCTGATTCCAGAAGGTTTAATGTTTACATGGCAAAACAGAGACATAGAATTGATTCAATTGAGAAAGCTGAATTATTTTACACAGAATATTTTGGAGGGAAAGAGGAGGAGACAGAAAAAGAAGTGTCACTAATCGAATTCCAGGAGGACTGCCAAATAGCGACCGAAAAAGAAGACGGTGCAGTAGGCGGAAAGGTGGAGGTTAAAGAACAACGTGAGATCTACGAGATCTGCTAAAACTACTTATAAAATATAATCATGGAAGAGAAAAAACTGATTACAATTAACATAAATGGACTTAACTCAGCCGTTAAAAGGAAAACTTTCCATTAATTAGAGAAATTAAAATTTGATATAATCTGCCTACAAGAAGTACATATTAAAAAGCAACATGAACAACTATTGATACAGCCAAAATTAGGAAAAATATTCACTTCTTTGACACAGTGCAAGAAAAGAGGAGTGGTTTTATACATTAAAGATATTATCCCAGCAAAATTGATCCATACTGATGATGGTGGAAATAATGGACAATAATATGAAAACACTCTTGATTGCAATCTATGCCCCGAATGACAATCAAAAAGAATTTTATAGAAAACTGCATATGAAAATAATCGAATTGGACTTGCTAATATAGTTATGATGGGAAACGTTAATGGAATTGTAGACAATAAACTGGATTATAGCAGCACAGAAAACAACAAAACAGAAAGACTCTCTCTAAATCCTTTTTTTAAATGATAGATGAAATAAATTTAAAAGATACATGGAGAGAAAGAAATGCTAAGACTAAACAATACACCTTCTATTCAAACAGACATTTTTCATGGTCCAGAATAGATATGATATGGATGTCAACAGAATTGTTAGCTAATATCCAAGAAATAAATATTGAAACAAGTACTTGGGCAGACCACAATCCAATGACAATTAAATGGAAAGGACAAAGAAGAAGATCTAGATGGATGTTAAATAATACTATACTAAAAGAAAAATACTTCATACAGAGGATGGAGAAAGAACTGCCTTTTTTCTTTAGAGAAAATAAAAAAGAACATATGGGATACAATGAAGGCATATGCCAGAGACTTGACAATAGACTACACAAGGAAAAGAAATACTACGAAAAAACGAGCCTCTAAGACATTAGAGGATGAGTATAAAGGACTTGAAAAAGAGTTACAGAAAATGCCACAGAAAAAGGACATTAAGTTAAAAATGGATATAATTAAACATAAAATGGGACTAATGAAAAAAGAAGAACTAGCACAGAAAATCAGAGGTGCGAAGCAGAACTATTTTGAAGATGCAAACAAACCAGGTAGATGGTTAGCATATAAACTGAGACAGGAGAAAGAATCAAGGAAAATATTGCAATTAATAGATGATCGAGGCTAAGTTTGCTATGGAAGTAAAGAGAAGAAGGAAATTATATGAGACTATTATGGGAAACTATACACACAAGAGAATATTGATGAGGAAAGAGTTAAACGGTACTTACAGAATGCTAATCTACCCCAGATACCTAAAGAGATTGAAACAATGTTAGAAAGCAATATAACGATGATGGAGCTAACTGAAGCACTTAAGAAGCAAAACAATGGAAAGGCACCAGGCCCAGATGGACTTCCGGCAGAATTCTACAAAACACTACAAGAATCATTGAACCTTCCATTACTAGAAGTTATGAATGAAGTTATGTTAAAGAAGATGATACCTAAATCATGGTCAGAAGCTTATATTACACTTATCCCAAAAGAGGAGACCGATCCATTACAAATCAAGAACTATAGACCTATTTCCTTACTAAACACAGATTATAAAATTTTTGCTTCAATATTGACAGAAAGACTTAAAAAATACCTAAACAATTTTATTCACCCTGATCAAAATGGATTTCTGCCAAAGAGACAAAGACAATATGAGAGTAATCTTGGACATTTTGGAATACTATGAGCACACCCTGAAAAACAAATGGCTTTGATATTTTTAGATGCACAGAAGGCATTTGATAATGTGAATTGGCGATTCATGTTATTACAGCTGGAACAGATGGGCTTTGGTAAAAAAATTATTCATGCAACAGAAGCTATATATCATAACCAAACGGCAAAGGTAATGATAGAGGGAGAACTGACAGACTCTATTGATATAAGAAAAGGAACAAGACAAGAGTGCCCACTGTCACCTTTGTTGTTTGTGTTAACCTTGGAAGTGTTAAACAGAAATATTAGAGAAGAAAAGGATATAAAAGGGATGAAAATTAAAAAGGAAGAATTTAAGTTGCAAGCATTCGCAGATGATCTGGTTTTCATTTTAGAAGACCCACTAGAAACAGCATTAAAATTGATAGAAAAGATAGAGGTATATGGGAAGGTGGCTGATTTGAAAATAAATAAAGACAAAACAAAGATTTTAATAAAGAATATGTTATCAAGACAAAAGGAAGAACTGGCAGATGTATTGAAAATCCAGGTCATGAATAAGATCAAGTACCTGGGGATACATTTGACAGCAAGATGTAGTACACTAAAAGAGAATAACTATATTAAACTTAAGCAGCAGATAGCGCTAGATTTGGCGAAATGGGAAAATTTACAACTGTCATTAATAGGGAGAATATCAACAATCAAGATGAATATACTACCCAGAATTTTATTTTTGTTCCAAACAATTCCAGTTAGGCTTGGAAAAGATTATTTTGAAGATTTAAATAAAATTGTGTTGAAATATATATGGCAAGGTAAGAAAGCGAGAATAAAATTAAAACTTTTGAAAGATGCTAGAATAAGAGGAGGATTTCGTTTGCCAAATTGGGAGTTGTACTACCAAGCTACAAATTTGATGTAGGAATGGATAACATTAAGAAATGCTAGATTGTTGACATTAGAAGGACATGATCTGTTGCTGTGGTAGCATGCTTTTTTATGGTATAAAGGAACTAAAACACTGGGGTATTTTAGAAGACATTATATATGGGAGTCTCTGTGGTTAAACGGAGAAGATTAAAAGACAATGTTATTTGAAAATTCCAGTCTGGTAATCAACTATTGAAGCATTTTCTTATCCTATAATATAAAAAAAGGAACAAACAGTTAGATATGGTGAAATATTGAATGAAAAGGTTGAACTCAAATCTATACAAAAACTAGAGGAACAAGGTATAAAGATGAATTGGTTTTCATATGCGCAAATACATTCAAGGTATGATAAAGATTCTAAAATGTAAGGTTTCTATGATAAATTGACTGATTTAGGTAAGATTTTGACAAGTACTGATGAAAAGCTGATTAAAAAATTGTATGGATATTTATTAGAAATTAAATTAGAAGAACAAGAAGTTAAAGAAACAATGATTGCTTGGGGGAAGAATTTTGGATATGGGATTGATCTAGAGAAATGGCAAAAATTGTGGTCTCAAAATTATAAAATGACAATGTCAACAGTATATAAAGAAAATTTGTATAAGATGTTTTACAGGTGGCATTTTCCCCCCGACAAGAATAGCAAGAATATTCAAGAAGAAATCTGAAAAATTTTGGAAATGTCATCAGGTACCTGGCTCATATTACCATATGTGGTGGACTTGTGCAGATGACAAAAAATATTGGACTAAAATCCACACATGGCTGGAAAAAAATGACAAAAAAGCATATAGACTTGAAACCAGTGATATTTTTATTGTGAATTTTACCTGAAATATACAATAAAGAATTGAAATATCTGACTGTAAATGTGTTAACTGCGGCTAAGGTTGTATTTGCTAAAAACTGGAAAAATGAGAAAATACTATCACAGGAGGAAATTATTAAGAAAATATTGGAATGTGCTGAAATGAGTAGATTGACATTTGAAATCAGGGAACAAGATGATAAACAATTTTATAAAATTTGGGATCTATTCTATCAACAGTTAGATAATAAAACATGGTATGAAATATGTAGAGTTTTAGAAAATAATGAATATATAAAGATGTATTTTTTCTTTTTATTATATCTACAAAATGTTTGTAGGATAGATTTGAGATGATAATATGAACTATCCTAAAACAAATTACGTAAAATATGGATTATCTTGTAAATCATGAATGAATAATAGTATAATCAAATGATTAACAATGATATTAATGTATTTTATTTGATTGACAATATGAGAATATATACAATGTAATTGTAATTGAAGACTACGAAGTGGAAGCACAAAACAATTTGTAAACCAACCGACATACTGTATGTATATATATGGAAGATGGCTTGATGTTTTTATGTTTTGATGGTCTATGTTTGTCTTAAAAAACAATAAAATTTATTTTTAAAAAAAGAAACTGCCAAAGAAGCTAACAGAAAACAGCCCAACTAAAGAATCTCTAAGACCACCCCCAGCAACACTGACAGGCAAGCCACTATAGAATATAAACTGACATCAAATAACACTTCTTACTAGTACTGATTATGTTACCTGGTTTGGGTAATGAAATGTCTACAGGACAACAAGCTCAAAGAGCACCAAGGATCACTCATGTTAACCCTAAGCTACAAATATTCCCCTTTAAAAATATGATAAAAAAAGTCATAGGAAAAAGGAGGAAGGAAGAGAAATATGTTGATTACAAATATATAACTCTAGAATGAAAGAACCTGTTAACATGTTCAACTATACTAAGATTTGCTTAATCTCTAACTTCTGTGAAAAGCTGAAAGAAAGGGAAAAAGAGAAGAACAGTGCAGAATGTAAGGAACAAAAGCAAAAAGTAGATACCATGGTTAATATCTAAAGAAGACTGGCATGATCAAACTAAGTCTACTCTTCAGTTGGCTTTTCATCATAGACCATTATGAATCAAATCTTATCCACCACTAAATGGATGAAAATTCAATGATTGCCTCAAAAAGAGGAAGAGGACTATAATATATTCCTAAAAAGATTTGGTTGATGTTTGATTGCTACATGTTTCTAATTCTGTCACTTTTTTGTATATTTTTTGTATATTGCCCAGAGACCTGGCTTAATAAATCTTATAAATAAAAAGTAACTGCCAACCACTGCTTTTCAGTGCATGCAAGAAATAATAACATAATTTTCCTATGATTATCCCCACCTACTTCTCCGGTACCAACATGTCTAGCAATTGAAATCTTACCTTGAAACAAGCTTGCTTAAATCACAGTGTGTGTCACATAATGTTATAATATTAAGGTCAGTTACTATAGCAGAAGCATTTCTGTTCATCTGGGGGAAGAAAATTTGTAAGTTAAAAAGTGAAGAACAAATCACATTTATACATAAATCTGTCAAATAGTCACAGCTTACTTAATATTTAAATATAAATGTTATGAGAAACTTCAAATGAGTTTGAGATTTAAATGTTCCCCAAAATAACTGCCAATTGGTATAGCATGGACAAGTTGATTATGGCATATTGTAGCAGCAAAGAGCTTCTGAGAATGCACCCTTGTTTGTTTATTTATTTATAAATAAAATTTATTGGCTGCCCATAGGATAACTGTGAGAGACTTACACACACACACAATTAAAACATAAACAATTAAAATCAACATTAAAACACAAGGGGAAGGCAGGGGCAGAGGGGAGAAGTGGGATCAGTTACTACTCAATCAACAACCTCCACTGTGCTGTATTTATGCATTCTCAAACATGCACATTTTCAAGCCATTGAAGGAATTTTAAAATTTGATATCTGATGGTCCAAAAAGTAGGTGCATGAAGGAAAGTGACTAAACTTATATTATGTTTGTAGAAACCAATATTTGACCATGTTTTGCCAGGGGGCATATTTTTTTCTGAAATTTTGTTTTTATTATTAAAAGCACATTGTGAATTTATAATGCAATTTTTGGAATTCATATTTAGATATTTTGTGTACTGGATTCTCAAGTTTAATTTCTCCAAGTTTATTTTATGGAATATATTAAACTCAAACAGGATCCTACTTGATTATTTCATCAAAATATGATAGTCTATGGCATTTTCAAAGAATTGTATTAAACATTTATATTTTAAATTATTTTTAATCTAATGCCTATTTAATTTATGAATTCAGCATGTTTACTAGTCATTGCCATATTTTATATTGTCAAGTTTCTAATTACCAGACAACATCAAGAACAGGCAATTAACTCAGGATTATTGCTGCTAGGATCAATCTTATTAAGAAAGCACTGAGGACTCTTTATCAGAAAACTCTTGTCCACGCATTCATCTGTTGATCAGTAAAGAAAAACGTAAGCCTACAACAGTACATGTCACTTGCTTTCCATATACAGGATCAGCTTTGCAGAACAGGACAATGGCTTAGATTCAAAATCCTTGTGCTAAGCTATAAATAATAAGTCATTTTTTAGATCCAGTATGATTGAATTTACAGCATACTAAACCAAAAACAAATATGCTTTTGTTTTCAAAGTAAACTTATGCTGTGTGAAAGTGTTCCTATGTATTCTTAGAAACAAAAAACTTATTAACGGTACAATATTTTAGATATAGACATTTGACTACAATAGCTAATATTGAGATATCATCTTATGATTGAAGGAGCAAATTACCAGACTATTTCACTTGTTTTATATACAGGTAGTCTTCAACGTATGACTGTTTAATAACAATGCAAAGTTATGACAGGCTCAAAAAATGTTTTGACTTGTACTTGTACTTATGACTTGCATCATCCCCATGGTCACATTTGCAATTTATGTGCTTGGCAATCAGTTTGCATTCATGACCAGCTGCAGCATCTTGCACTCACATGATTATGATGTGCTACAAAAATGGTTGTGAAATTGGGTCTGGTCACATGGTGATTTGACTTAGAATCATCAATGACTGTCTGTATGTATCTTCAAAGCAGTTCAAAGCTTTTATTATGTATATACCTGTATTCCATTCCAAAGTTTTAAAAAACTAATGCAATTAAAAATTAAAACAAATGGCTCCTTTAGTAAAAAAAAGGAAACAGAAGAAAAGGAAATACCAAAACATTTCAAAATGCCTAGACTTTTCAAAGATGCTTATGTAACTGTAGATACATATTGGAACCCGGGTAATGCTTCAGATTCAAAGGGAAAAGGATGTTGGATTACAAGTGTGCAAACAATTCCTACTGGCAACTCTGTCATCCAAACATATCTTTTCCTGGGATCATGCTGCCACTACTGAAGGTAGCTTTGCAAGCCTAAGAAGAAATGCCACCTACTGGCAATTTAGATTTAGTCCTTGCTTGTTTATCAATTTAACTTGTTTCTAAGAAATCAAGCATAAGAATACATTTCTAACTGAAGTATTACTAGAATTTATTTTTGTGTTGATTCCAAAACATACAAAATACATTTAAGCTGTAAGTTTTGGCAACATTATATTTATTTAATTTTATTGGGATTCATTTTTGTGCAGAATTGCAGGTTCTGTTTCTTCTATTAACTTTTTCCTGTCAAGATAACTGTTTGAAAAATTAAAGAGTTAAGATAATTAGGAAATTTATATCTTCATTTTCCTGTTTCTTCTTCAACTGCTTATTCTATGTATTTAACCACATGAAGATTTGGCTTACATTAATACTATGTAAATAGTATTAATTGTCAATCAAATATAAAGTATGAAGTTTGGAATAAAGTATGTGGTATCCAAAACTTACACATTAGTACAGAAAAGCAATATTTTAATATATATTCATCAGCATAAAATTACTAACCTTTTTAGAAAATTAAATTAATGTATCAAAATTACACCAAGAACCATGGATAGTTTCACAAGAAATGTCACAAATTCAGTTTGTGTATGATAATTATTGAAGCTTAGTGAAATGCTCTAGTTTATTTTAAAAACATCTTCCATTACCTGACTTTCTTCCGTGAGTTTAAACTCCAACTGAAATGAGATTGACTGACACTTTCCTGACAGCTTATAAGTTTGAATAGTTTTAGATCCATCTATAATGAAGAAATATTAAAATTAATCAGCTGTATAATCCTTCAATAATGTGTTCTTTATTAATCAATAACTTTTAAAAGCTAACCTATTTAATATAAGATACATAGTCAGTTCATTAATTCAGCAGTCTGTCTAAAATACAAATAATGTAGTGACTCTGGGCTGGCGGGATAGTTTTTTAAAGATTTTTTAAATTTAAAATAGGAAAGTTTTCAGGTTGCAAACTATAACCTCCAGCAACTTTACAAAGTGCCTCTGGCATCTTAGAAAATGAAAATGATATATAGCTCTACTCCACTACTTTGTCTGGAAACATGTCTGCTTGCTCAAAAAAAAAAAATACCGAGTTCACTGGTAGAGAACACTAGTGACTGTAGGCAGAAGCAACCTCACAGATTTGCCTTCTGTAAATGTAACTGGCCACACCTACCATAAGCTATTCTGTGAATTAGGTGAAGTCCCTTTAGTAAACATGTTGTCAAAAATCCAAATAAGTCTGCCTGACAAAAAAGGATACAACAGAGCTTTGTTTTAAATATTCTGTTTCCTGGGAAAGATAAAACTGATAGTGGTCTCAAAACTCCGCAGCTACTTCAGTATTGTTGATTAACTGCACCCATTTCAATTGGACTTTTGGCTGAGAAATGGTACAGAGCATGCTTGCATCACCTTGGCAGATAAAACTGAATTCATCTGGTTTCAGAACCATAGTTATTTAATTAGGATTTATTATAAGTCAGCTTTCAACAAACCATACTTGAGATTGTTTTGATTTTGAAACCATAATAAACTGTGGGTCACTTAAACTAGAACAACAATATCAATATCTTAAATTTGTATATTAGAATAGTTTTGGAGATCCTTTTAATATGTTTTTATTCAAAGAATGTCTTTATCAATTATATCCAATTTTAGTCCAATTTTGGTACTATGAAGTAAAGGTAGATATGAAGTAATTGTCTTGATTACTGAGATTTGATTGGCCAGTTTAATCAGCTTTGGTTGATAGGACTAGCCAAATTTGAAATATAATACTTTCTCTGTCTTAGGTACTGAATAACAGTTAATAATTTTAATTTTATTAAAATATGGCAATATCAATTTTTGAGACTAGATATACAACGTTGAATCAAAATAATGTATGAAGTTTGAAAAAAGTGTATAATACTGTGACAATCATTAAAATACCTACTTTTTTCCACAAGTTTACGTGAATAATGTGTAAAGAAAATGCCTGTAAATTTCATTATAAACGAGAGATCAGCTTCTAACAAATGGAGTTGAGTTTCCTGATCTGGAGAAGATTTGGATTGCTTCAGTTCTTCAGGTTTTCTTCTAAGTAATTGCCTACAGTAAGCAAAAACTTTTATCAGCTAGACTAAATGAAAAACCTCTAGTATATTGGCATAGAAACTATGTTACTTAACAAAGTTTTATTTTTCCATAAGTTATTTATCTGTGTGGGGAAATCAAATATCTAATATGAATGAATCTAGGACAGAATAAGAGATTTATTTTACATGTTACAAGTAGATGATGCACAATGCAACTTATACTTCTTTCAACGAATACGATTATTCTTTTTATATATTTTTGAGAGGTCAAGTATCTTCCAGGTGAGATACTGGAGGACAAAACCCCTATGCAGAATATAATTAACTCATCTATCAATTTCACCAAATGAGATTACTCAATTCAAAGTTTTGGGAACACTAATGCAGATGTACTAAATGAGGCTCTCTGTGGATTTAATTAAGGTTGAGAAATGGAATCCTCTATTTAAATTCTTACTAAAGTTGTTTTAACTCATTAGAGATTTGGTCTCTCTAAATATGGATTCTTCAGAGAACTTGAAGTTGAATAAAAATTATTGTACTATGGGTTTTGTCCTACACTGATTTAGGAAACCAACTTAGTAGTATCATATCATTAGGTATTTTGGTCAGCTTCTTATATCTAAACATTACATAACTCTTATGCTATTATGCTTTAATTTTTAATGTTCCAAAATCCAAAATTTAAGACTCCTTGTATTTCGGGGATGGAACCTTTTATACAAAAGGCATGAGGTTTTCTATGCAGGTCTTTATAGAAAATTGTATTTTTATATTGACTTAATATAATTTAATAAAATCTTGTAGAATTTCTCAGCTTATTGAACATAATTATATACAACATATTTTGAACACAAAGATTTTAGTGTAATAATCATAGGAAAATTCTTAGTAATTGCAAGCCAAATACATGGTAGCACCTGCCTTGGACAACAACATTTCCTCCCAGATCCAAATGGAGTTGACCCAATTGGCTTTTTGTAAAACTCTGCAGACCTTGCTGTTTCCCAGGTATTTCGGTCAGGAGAGTAGGCTAGCCATATTTTTTTTATCATTGAAAGGTGTCATATAACACCTTATTGCTTTCATTGTTGTGTCTTAATCTTTGTAGTCTGCTTCAGAGATGGGTATCCATGTACATTATTTAAATAAACAAACAAAACATTACCTACATGATCTCCATTATTTCTGCTTCAGTATATGTCACTGACTGGTGTTGATTATGTTCATATTCTTCTGTTAGCATCTTAATTTCTTCTTCCAAACATTTAATTTCATCTTCGCAGGCCTCAAATTCATTGCTATTCATTTTTCAGGCACTTATCTTCCTAAAGCGAAAAAACTAATATAAATACAGCAGTTGGGCAACTTTTTTTCTCCCCTGTTCGTAACTTAAAGATTTCAGTTTGTCTCCATCAGTCCGATGAAAATAAAGCAGCATTGTTATTTGCTTTCTTGGGAGATGTTGTGGAAAGCTGTCATTGAAATACTACTGAAATTATAACAATACCATAAATCTAATGCAAAACAGTTTTTGCCTTATCTGAAGCAAATTTAGGATGTGTGTACACACACACACACACACACACACACACACACACAAGAAAATTACACTTGCAACAATTTACATTAAAATTGTTACCAGTATATTTATTTACTTACGCTCCAACAAAAAAAAAACCTCCTAATTCAGCAGGGTGGTCTGTGTTTGTTGGACCACGGCTTCTGGCCAGTTTTGACAGGCAGACTTTTCAAAAACAGTCCCATATGTGATGCCAGTAACCTAGTCGCCTAAGCCTGGGAATCCTCAAGGAAGAAACAGTTGGGAGTTTTGGGGGGGAAAGAGGAGGAAGAGAAAAACACTCCGAGGTCTCTGTATTATGTGAGGAAAGTCCTGGAAGCAAAACAACGCGCAGCGTGATGATGCTCACAGATTACAGTACCTTTGCCCGAAGCAGATGCCACTGGTCGTCTTCTGAGCCCGCCGACCAAACTAACCGACCAAACTAACCACACTCTACCTCCTGCACCACTTCGAACGAGCCGCCAAAGAAAGCCGTCTCGGGCGCTACCATTCTGCAGAATGGGGGGGGGAGAGGAGACGGAGGAAGATAAGAGAGGTTTCGATACTGAACCGGTTGCAGGTCTTCTCCGATCTCAGTTAATTTACATTAGGTTTTACACTACTCAGCAACAAAACATTTCTGCAGTGCAGAATGATGTGCCTACAAACTCTTTGCTCCACTTCCGTCTCTCCCGTTTTAGCGCCATTCGATAGTTCGATCCAACTTGTGCTGGGAGGGAGGAGGATTCGACTAGGAAAAGGAGAACATAGAGCTTCAAACTAGTATAGAGAGACTTAACATCCGAATTTCCGCTTAAAATTATAAAATTGCTCACAGATCCACGCGTTTGTATAGATTAGAGACCCCAGGTTGGGTGGAGAAGCGTATCGCGCCTACCTGAACTTATCGCCGCTGTCTATTAACACTTCAGCGTTTCTCTGTCATGCGTCTTTTTCAGGAGAAACCTAATAGAATAGCCACTTAGGATAAATTAAGCTAATGTTTCTCAACCTTAAGATAGGTGAACTTCAACTCCCAGAATTCCCCAGGTAGTCTGGCGGAAGTGGTGAGGGAGTGGAAGAAAAAAAAAAAAGCAGGCGACGAAGCAACAGTTGTGACCACGCTTGGCGTCGCGCGCCGCACTAGGTCGCGGGCGATTCCGAAGAGCGGCGCGTCGAAGTGCGAGGTGTGTAGCTGGACGTAGTTCTTACACGCCAGTAAGTCCCTTGCATTTAGTGGTGAGTTACAATGAGGGTTGGTGGTGCCCAATTTCCAACGTGATGTTCAGGCATCACTCCCCGAGCAAATGCAAGGCAAGGTTAGCAGATCTGAAATGCAAAAATCCCGGCGACCGCGAGATAACGGCAGCGAGAGCGAGTCCTAGTTCTCTGCTATACTGCCACTTCAGAGTCGCCCGGATCTTGAACAGTTCGAATCTGGTAGCCGATAGATAACTTGCAGAGTTTTAAACTTAAGAGTTGGGCTTCTAAATAGTCCGAGTGGGGGCGTTTCAGCTTATAAAGGCAGCATTTATTTATTTATTATTTATTTATTTTGTCAAGCGATTATAAGATAACAGGTATAAGTATAAACATAGTTATGGATACGTGAAATTGATACATATAAGAAAAATAAACCAGACATCAGCAGGCTTCTGTCTGATTGAGGTTGCGGCTGTGGACTTTCTTGATGATTTTAAAACTTGAAGGACTCAGTGTTGAAAAGATGCTTCAGAGCAGGGTTGATGATTTCTAAAGGGAGAGTATTTGTATCTCAGGATTGAAATGAGGGGTCCTTGGTGCTCCCTGAGCTTGCTTGTTTTCTTGTAGATGTTTCATTACCTAGCTAGGTAACATCATCAGTGCTTGGGTAAATGAAACGTCCGCAAGAAAACAAGCAAGCTCAGAGAGCACCAAAGACCCCTCATTGATGACTTCTGCTAAAATTTTAAGCTGTTGGAAATTTGAATAGGTTGAGCTAATTACTCTGTTTTAGAATTTTGCTTGAATACTAGGATGCTTTTTATTTATTTTTTATTTATATATCCATACGCTGCCCATCTCATGTAAAGGCTTAGAGATAAAATATTAACATAATATTTGCATTAAAATTGATATTAAAAAGAGTCAATTTCTTCTCTTTATGTGAATGATAATCAAAAACTGTACTTTTAATGCCTCAGCCTCCCTCTTCTTAGCTTGAGTTGTGGCTGTCCTTAGGGTATACGCAGGGGTGGGATTCTACCGGCTCTGTCTGGCTCTGTAGAACCAGTAGCTCTAAAGAGCAGCAGACACAGAACCGGTTCAATGTCTGCTGCTGTTTTGGCCCACCTGCCCGCCCAGGCTCTTACCTGACCTTTATTTCCTGCTTTTTCAACCTCAGCTGCTTTGCACAGCACAGCTGCAGTTGAAAAAGCTAGAAAAAAGTGCTTTTTCAACCACTGAGCACCTGTGCGCAGCGCTGCTCAGTTGTCCAGGGAGCAAGCTGATGACGATTTACGCAAATCATAAACCACCAAACCGGTAGTTACACTGGTCAGATCCCACCTCTGGGTATATGTCTCCTCTTTCCTGTTCTCATTCCATTATTTTAACTTAAGTTCCAAAACCTATATATAGTTCATTCATAACAGTAAATGAAATCTGTTAAAGCAATACTGAATAGACTTTTTTCTCTTCCTGGTCACACATAGAAACAGTGGAGAAGCTGGCATTTTGTATTAAAGTGGGGATCTTACAAAACTCTATGAACTGGACTGCTCTGAAGATATTTTGTATCACAGTAACTCTTAACATTGTTGAAAATATTTTGTTGTTGCTATGCACTTGTCATTTTGCAGAAAAGTTGTAGCTGAAAGGATAGTACTTTGGACATTTGTTGAATTGTTGAAAATGGAACAAATCTCATTCGTCAGACGACTGTACATTGGAGGACTTGGCCATTCAGTTTCTGAAGATGAACTGTATGAAAGATTTAGCAAGTTTGGAAATGTTACAGAGACTGAAATCATTAGCCGGAAGGATGAGCATGGTAATGCTTTAAAATTGCTTAAAAATAATGTCATCTGCTTTGTAATGGCAGCCCTATGTTGCAGTCAGAAATAAGCTCTATTGATCAGATGTACTGATAAGAAAATCTATGCTCAATTCTGCTGCTACATATTTTTCTCATATAAGATGCACATTAGCTTTAGAGGAGGAAAACAAGAAAAAAAAAATTCTGCCTCTGCCTCCCAGCATCCAGCCAGTATTCATCTGGCTAGCGTCCTTGCAGCAAACAGCCTAATCAGCTTCAGCAGGTTATTAGGTTATTGCAGCCCCAGCACATGGATTTTCAGGGCTCCGCTCCATTACACCCACTACCAGTCAACTGAGCTGAATTTCTGCCGCCGGCAGGGAATGCTGGAGCCTTCACTGCCGAGCAGCTGATTGGCGGTTGGATCGGCTTCCCGGAATACCACCGATCAGCTGTTCTAGGCAGTGGGGATTGCCGCTGCCTATCACAGCTGCCCATCTGTGGCGAACAGGCAGCGGCAAACGGGTTGGCAGAAAATAGAGGCAATAGGTGGCAGTGGTGGTCACTCCTACCGCCTAGAACAGCTAATCGGCAGTATTCCAAGAGGCCGATCCAACCGCCAATCAGCTGCTTGTCAGCAAAGGCTCCAGCGTTCCCCGCTGGCGGTGCTGCACCCCACCTCCACCCTGCTGCAATATTCATTCTATAAGACGCAAAGGCAATTCCATCCACTTTTGGGGGGGGGAGTGCGTCTTATGGTGCGAAAAACATGGTATTTCTGTTTTTCTTTTGACAGTGATCACTTATTTATTTTAAACAATTTGAAAATCAGGTTTTTCTTTTCATTTTTGAATAATCAGATTGTTATTTTTAAACAGGGAACCCTACCAAGACATTTGCATACCTTAACATCCTCCTTTCGGAAAAAGAACTTAAAAAATGTAAGTATACAAACTATAAATGCTGTTTTTGGTTCTTGGGAATGAAAGGATGAAAACCGATTAATGATACTAAAATCTGTGGACAGGAGAAGTCTGATGAAGTTCACAACCAATTTTTTTTAGTTGTAACTCTTAATCAGTAAGTAATTTAGCTTTAGTTTTAGTGCAAGTCACCTTAAACATTTCTGTATTTATGTGCACCCTGTTGATAAGGGAAGGAGAGTCTAATATACATATCTTTCAAATAACACAGAAGTCCCCAACCCCCGAGTTGTGGCCTATTTGCAACAAGCCAGGCGGATAATGGGCCAGCACACATGTGTGCACCGATTGACTTGAGCAAGTCGTGGGACTGCGTGCCTGCAAATGCGTACACAGCTCAACTTGCACAAGTCAAGCTGTGTGCGCATATACGTGCGTGCCAGTCCACTGCCTGCACAGCCAGGTTCCCCCTCCACTGGGCCACTAAGCCGCAAAAGTTGGGGACCGTTACTCTAACATACTGTTTGCTGCAACATCTCCAATATTTAATTGAATTTTTCTTATGTGGTCATGTTCCACCCTACTCCTTCTTTATGGATATCAGCTTTCCAAGCATGCTTAAGCAGTTGTCTTTCAGAATCTGAAATATTTTCTTCTTACCATGCTAGGCGTTCTCTTTTCCCATTCTCCAAATGAGAAAATGTCCCATGAGATTGAGTCTAGCACCATATTTCCCAAATGACTGCTATATCACACTGGTCCTTGTTCTTCTCTTTGAGGCCTCTTGGGATTTGTGGTTTATAATGTTTTAATAATGAGCAGAATAACCAGTTTATTTTTATTTTTTTTGTCTTTAAAGGTATATCAGTTTTAAATAAGACGAAATGGAAAGGTGGAACACTACAAATCGAATTAGCCAAAGAGAGCTTCTTACACAGGTAGTCCTTAGCATATTGTATAGAGTTTCTGATGAAAACAAGCATACATATGAGGAAATAAAGATTTTCAGAGAAAGATATAATTTCATATTTATAAATAATTCAGGCAGAATCCAATTGTATGTTTCCATTAGTGGCAGGAAACAGGATGGAAGCAGTTACTCCCAGTAATCCTACATTTATCTCTCAATCTCGTATTGAGACTCCCTCAATTCTTTGAAACAGATTTGGAGGCATCATGGAGAACTGAAGAATGGAAGAGAAGACTTGCTTGTCTGGTTAAAGTTCTCAATATGGTATTAGATTTTACATTGGGTTTTAACAAAACATTAGAAAAATGTAGTGAATGCTGTATGAGTGACATTGGAGATATTTAATGGGAGAGGTGCTTCTCATACTGAGAAGTGAAAACATGATAGCAAATCTGACTACTGCAAAACAAAGGACTGATTCAAAATTGAGCCTGTTAACACAAGAGTGAGAAAGAGAAGATGTTCCATTTGGAATATTATTACTACCCTGTTTCTCCAACAATACGGCCTCCCCCAATAGGAAGTCCCAGCATGTTTTATAGGCATGAAATGAAATTAAGCCCCTCCTCCCCAAATTAAGGCCTATATTAAAACATGCAAAATGGGGGGGAATGGTGGGGGGGCTTGCC